TGCATCCATCTCCTTGTGTCTGGTGCTCATGCTCCCACCCATCTCCATGCTCTGGGTGATGCTGGGTGGGTGAACCCAGCACCGTGCAGGGATGAACAACAGGGCCACAGCCTCAAATCAAGGCTCATAGAATCATTAAGGTTGGAAAAGACCTCTAAGATCATCAAGTTCAACCTCTCACACCAGCTCTGAGAGCTGAAGGAGCTCCTGGACCTATTTCTTGGGGGAAACACTTCATTCTCCTCTGACTTTCACTTCTCTCCATCCCTGCAGCGCTGACGGGGAGTTTGCCGTGACCCATATGACGAAAGCCCACGTCTTCTCCAACGGGAAGGTGAAGTGGGTGCCACCCGCCATTTACAAGAGCTCGTGCAGCATCGACGTCACCTTCTTCCCCTTCGACCAGCAGAAATGCAAGATGAAGTTCGGTTCCTGGACTTACGACAAGGCCAAGATCGACCTGGAGAACATGGACCACCATGTGGACCTCAAGGATTACTGGGAGAGCGGCGAGTGGGCCATCATAAACGCCATCGGCACCTACAACTCCAAGAAGTATGACTGCTGCACCGAGATCTACCCCGACATCACCTTCTACTTCATCATCCGCCGCCTCCCGCTCTTCTACACCATCAACCTCATCATACCCTGCCTGCTTATCTCCTGCCTGACCGTGCTGGTCTTCTACCTGCCCTCCGACTGCGGGGAGAAGATCACCCTCTGCATCTCCGTCCTGCTGTCCCTCACCGTCTTCCTGCTCCTCATCACGGAGATCATCCCGTCCACCTCGCTGGTCATCCCCCTCATCGGCGAGTACCTCCTCTTCACCATGATCTTCGTCACGCTCTCCATCATCATCACCGTGTTCGTCCTCAACATACACCACCGCTCCCCCAGCACCCATACGATGCCCCGCTGGGTGCGTAGCTTCTTCCTCGACTTCATCCCTCGCTGGCTCTTCATGAAGAGACCCCTGGTGCTGCCTCCCCCCGAGGGGACCACGGGGCAGTACGACCTCCCGGGGACGAGGCTCAGCACCTCCCGGTGCTGGCTAGAAACCGATGTGGATGACAAGTGGGAGGAGGAAGAGGAAGAGGAAGAAGAGGAGGAGGAAGAGGAGAAGACCTATCCCAGCCGCATGTCCCAGGCGGGTTCCCATGGCCAAGGCACCCAGTGCCGCTATAGCTGTGGGCGCCAAGCCGGGAAGGCGTCGGCGGGCTCAGCGCCCCGCGTGCCCCCCAAGGGGGAGAAGGAGGAAGAGGAGGTGGGGTCAGACCGGGGGCTGACGCTGTCCCCCAGCATCCTGAAGGCCCTGGAAGGGGTGCAGTCCATCGCGGACCACCTGCGAGCCGAGGATGCTGACTTCTCGGTGAGTGGGTGCCCCCCAAAGGGCTGGGAGGTGAGGGGGGGTCCCCAGCCCTGGGTGCCACCTCCTGCCATTTGTACCTCCATGGAGGGGAACCCCATGGAACATCCACTTGGTTCCCTGGCTGCTGAGGACCCAAACACAGGGAAAAGATCAACGACCACCTCGTGGGAGATGCCCAGTCCATGGGGTCACTGAGGGTTGTCCAGCTGGCTGCGGGGATGCTGGAGGTCCCTTTGGAGGTCCCTTGGAGAGCAGACATGGCCCAGCCTGCCCTGCTGGGACCCTGCTTGGGGCTGCACCCCTACTTCTAGCCAGGTGGTTTCAGAAAACCCCGGGTGGGATTAGCTCTACCCCCCAGAGGTCCATTCCCCTGCTGCTCTGGGGACTTCCCAAGACATGGTTGCTCCTCACCTTGAGGCAAACGGGGGATGCAGAGCCCCTAGGTGGTCTCCTAACCCAAAGGTGTCCTCACAAATAGGGGGACTGCATCCTCTGGCCTCTGGTCTCAGCCCATCTCTCCTGGGCACGGGAACTGGAAGTACGTGGCCATGGTGATCGACCGCATATTCCTCTGGATGTTCATCATCGTCTGCTTGCTGGGCACCGTGGGGCTCTTCCTCCCACCCTACCTGGCAGGAATGATCTAGGGGCTGGGCCAAGCTGTGGTGGGGACAGCAGGCAATGCACAGTCCCTCCTCTTGGGGAGCCAAAAATGGTGGTGCCCACATCCAACCGGACCCTTGGCTCCCCCTGGAAGGTCATGGTTGCAACCACAAAAGACCATTGGATGGGGAACGCGGGGTGAAGCAAGGGCTGGGCCAAGGGGTGACCTGGGGAGGGTGGGAAGGGACGGCTGCCTGCCCACCTGCCCAGGGAGGGTCACAGCCATCCTGGCATTGGGGAAGGCACAGTGCAGCTTCTCCAGTGCCTGAGAACAGGCTGGAGGCATCTAGGAGAGATATCTGCCTCCTCGAGCTGCTGCAAATCCCACCCAAAACCCAAGAGATGCGTCTGGTTGTGACTCCAACGAGCTGGGCAACAAGAGGGGACCTCACAAGCATCCTGACCACAGGGTGCTCAGGACCCCATGCATGACATGGGGCATGCAATGACGCTTTGGGTGGCCCGTGCAGAAGGGGTACAGTCGTGGGATGGAGGTCTCTGCTCACTCTGCAACTCGCAGGCATGAGCGGTTACTTCCAAACCATCCTGAGCCGACTCAGAAACAGGAGTGTCTCAGGAAAAACCATCCTGCACAGATCACAGAATCACAGGATGGTTTGGGTTGGAAGGGACCTTCAAGACCATCTCATTCCAATCCCCCTGCCCCAAGCAGGGACACCTCCCACCAGACCAGGTTGCTCAAAGCGCGGTTCAACCTGGCCTTGAACACTTGCAGGGCAACTTCTCTGGGCAACCTGTGCCAGGGTGTCACCACTCTCACGGTGATGAACCCACACATCCAGGAGCTGACGGTGCCCATAGAACCCAAGAACGTGGGGTGCTGCCTCATGTCGAGGCTGTTGGACTCAGATGTCGTGGAGAGAACCTGCACTGCTGAGGTGTGACCCCAGCAAATCTTCCTTCCCGTGCTGTCAGATCCCAAATTGCCTGGTTCTGATTACTGCTGCAATCCAGCTTTTAATTAATGACGGGGCAAGGGGTGATAGTTTTAAGCTAAGAGGGGAGATTCAGGCTAGATATAGGGAAGAAATTTTTTACAAGGAGGGTGGTGAAACACTGGACCACCCAGAGGGGTGGTAGAAGCCCCATCCCTGGAAGCATTCAAGGCCAGGCTTGATGGGGCTCTGAGCAACCTGATCTGGTTGAAGACGTCCCTGCTCACTGCAAGGCTGGACTAGATGAGCTTTGAAGGTTCCTTCTATCCCAAACCATTCTCTAATTCAGTGATTCTATAATTCTAATTTCCAGCTTCCATATATCCATATAAATGGCATCTACTCTTTTTTTTCTCCATGCCCTCAGAGATGCCAGGATTTTCCAGCAACCTTTTTCTCCTCCAGGAGACCAAACCAGGCATCACAGCGCTGGATGCAATCGGAGGGCTTTTGGGAAAAACACTTTGTGCTTTCAGGAGTGAAACAGTCCAGAATAAACGGTGCCAGAGAGGGATGTGAGACCTCTCCCGTGAGGGTCATTTCTGGCTTGGTCGGGGTTGCAAATGCCTTGGGGTGGGAGCAGGGGGAGTGTAGGACACTTGTAGGGATTTGTAGACTCTACAGGGGGGAAATGGGGGCTCCAGGGGGCATGTGGATGCAGCAGATCCAGGTTCACCAAAGCAGCTCCCCTCTGGTGGTGCCATCAGGATGGTTCTTCCCCAAGTTGGCAAGATCAGAGAATCATTCAGGTCAGAAAAGACTTCTAAGATCATCAAGTCCAACCATCAACCCAACACTACCATGACCTAAACCACGTCCCCAAGTGCCACATCTATATGTTTTTTGAACACCTCCAGGTATGGGGACTCCACCACTGCCTTGGGCAGCCTCTTCCAGTGCTTCACCCCTCTTTCAGTAATGAAATGTTCCCTAATATCCAACCTAAACCTCCCCTGGCACAACTTGAGCCCATTTCCTCTCATCCCATCACTTGTTACTTGGGAGGAGAGATCAACCCCACCTCACTACAATCTCCTGTCAGGGAGTCGCAGAGTTTCAGGCGGATGGGAGATCTGAGCAGCAGGACTCTTACTCTTTCTGAGGAGGTGCTGGTGACCAGAGGAGTTATCCCCAGGGTATGGGGGTGACAGGCAGACGCAGGCACGGCAGGACTTTGTGCACGGTTTATCTCAGCTGGAACGAACAGCATTGTGGGAAGATGCTGGGGAAAAGCCCGAACCGTACGGATTCCAACTCAAAGCACAAACCGAACAAGAGACTTGGTTTGCCGTCGTCGTTTTACACAGAGCAGCTCGGAGAAAAATCAGCTGGAAGAGGCACCGTTCTCCTGGTTTGTGCCACCGAAGGCCGCGGGGTCCCATCCCTCCCCGCGCTCTGCTGGAACCGGCTCCACTGCGACGCGTGGACCCGCTTCCCATCGTTAAATAAACTCTTCTATACAATGTACAAGGAAATGCAAACAGTCCCTCTGGACACAGCTCCGATGGCTTCTGGGGACCCCCTATGCAGCCCCCTCCTTGGGATGCCAGCTCCCCCAGCCACTGTTTAATCCCCCTGCCACGGCTCCCAGCGGTGAGGATCAGGGTGCGGGTCCCTGTCACGAAGTGCCGCCCCGCAGACGTCCATCCTTGATGGGGCTGAAGGACAGACCGACGGA